ACAGTCATCCTCAGTGCTCAAAAGAATGCCTTCAAGGGATGTTTGGTAACTGGATTTCTACTGGTCAGGGCAGAGATTAGCAGAAGGGCACACCTGCCCCTTCCCATCTTACAGAAGGGCCAGAGAAAAATGAGATCATTAATGCAACCCAAAACATATGCAGCCAGCACAGGAGCTTTCTAGGTGTAGTCATTAGGATAAAAAACCAGCTCTGTCTTTTCAGCATCTCCTTGTAAGCCTAGCAGATTGCGTTAGGGGAGCAAGATCAGGGACAAGCGACAGTATGTGCTGACTCTGGACACCACCATGGCCCATAGGACAACACAGGAGGATTGCTGTGATTTAGACAGGCTCCAAGTGTTGTGTGAATCATCTCAGATACTTTTCAAACCTTTGAGAAAGCCCAGGGTTGGGAAGATACTAATAAGGCTAAAAGCAACTGTAGCCCAGTGTTTGATCTTGTCCTAGCTAGAAGTCCAGCATACGACGTCATTCTCGAAATACAGAAATATAAAGTTAGCTATATTTGCAATACATCTGTAAATGTAAATATGATAGTAATAAGAGTGTTTGAATCATAGAATTGTTTAGGTTGGAAAAGACCTTTAAGATCACCGAGTCCAACCGTTAACCTAACACTGCCAAGTCCACCACTAAACCATGTCCCTAAGTGCCATGTCTACACGTCTTTTAAATACCTCCAGGGATGGTGACTCCACCACTTCCCTGGGCCAGCCTGTTCCAATGCTTGATAACCCTTTTGGTGAATAAGTTTTTCCTAATATCCAATCTAAACCTCCCCTGGTGCAACTTGAGGCCGTTCCCTCATCTTACCGCTTGTTACTTGGGAGAAGAGACCAACAGCCACCTGGCTTCAGCGTGATGGATTAGTCTATCTCCCTTCTAATGCCTAAGAGGCACCGTCACCCAAGTTGTGAAAGCACCTTATGGAGGTGCTTAACATTGAAAGATAAATAGTCACAACTTTTCAGATTGAGCTGAATTCTGTCCTATGTTATGCCAGGGAAACTCCCTAAGCGGAAAGTAAAATCTCTGTTTCCAACACTTTTTCCCAGTATACCATTTTGTAGCAGTTCTTGTCATAGCTTTTTCTATTAAAAAGTTTATTCCAGTTGGGGTTGCTTAGAGGTGGTCAAGTTACAAGCAGGAAAATGCAAAACATTTGTCAACAATTATTCCTTTTTTTTCATAGAAATATCCCCATTGACAATTTCCCAGGCAGCTCTAGGGATGCATTTTCTTTTCCTTATATTCCATTTCATCTAAGTTGTGAGCTAGGATTTTAGTGCCAAATATCTTCAGTTATAAGAGGAATTTGAAATATCTTATCTCTAGCGGCCTGTGATTGAGTCTAGCATCACCTGGAAATCTCTATTGACAGACACCCAGCAAACCATCCTCAACAGACGGGTAATATTAAAACGACACAGCGTGCATCGCAGCTTGCGGTACGACTGAAAACCCAACACAGGTACACGAATTCTGAGTAGGTGTTCTGTAAGTGGTGCACTTGGGTTCCGGTTGGGATTACTCTGACCAAATGTAGATACCTGTTGCAGAGATGTCTGTCTATGAGCAAGGGTCACCCCAGGCTCCCTTCACAGCCGGTTGAGGGAAGCGGGCACTTTTGGGGCACAGTCCACCTCACCCTCAAATAGACACCTAAAACAGGACTGATGAATTCATCTGACAAGTGTCCATCTCTTTCCATTGCCTGTATCGGGACCCTGGAGTTACTAAATCCAATGTTGACATAAAGGAGACGAATCCTACTTTATTTGCTTAAAACGTGCTGTAACTTGGAGTAGAAAAAAAGCTTTAAGTGTGAGAAATAATTTGCCCTGCGCTCGTTTTAAAAGAACAATTACATATGGGAGCATGTCTTATATAAAGGAATTTATTTTAAGAGTATGTTTTTAAACAGTGTATATTTATGTGCATCCTACCGCAAGGGAATAATTTTGAACAGAATTAGGAGTTTTGTTTTATTTTTTTAATGAATGGCTGCAATCATAAGGCAGTTCATGCTCTGCTTAAATTAGATTCCATTGCTGCACTTCTTCTACTATTTATCTACTAAATAAAAAATAAATGAACAATCTGGTATAGAAATCTGATTTTCTAAGTGAACCTCTGATTGCTCAGAAAGAGTCACTGCATTCTGGATGAAGAAAATTAATTCACGGTGAGTTACCTTACGCCAGTCACTGAGTAGTCAACTCAAGAATATAAAAGTTAGAGATGAAGGTGAAATAAGGAAATTTTAAAACTGTAGAGAAAAGATTTTATTAATTAATGTGCTCCTGTTGTGCATATATTACCCTCTAGCATTTTTAAATGTATCTTCTAATTATGTAATCAATGAAGATGCTGATGTTTACCAATGAAAGGATTTTTTCCTGCTAGTGCAGAGCCATGCATTAACTATAACAGGCCCACAGACCTCTGCAGCTCCCTGGAAGTATAGTATGTTGAAAACAGGTTTTCAGCATGTCCTTTTAAATGGGTTGAATCTATGTGGCAGAAGGATGGTATGTTTATGAACATCCCTTACAGACACCAACTGTGCCCAATAAAAACAAAACGAGGGCAGAGGTGGTTTAATTTTATATAGATTCTATAGCAAAACAACACACAGACATGTACTGGGGAGAGATCAAAGCAAGAAAAAGGGAGAATGTTTCTGTGCAACTGATTTTCCTCATGCATCTCCGTGAAACATTTTTGCTGGGTTCTGCACACTGTTTCTTCCCAGGTCACGGTGTACCTCTTCAGAGGTACTTCTGCGTATCATTTCTCCCAACTTTGCCGTTCATGTCTTGACCTAGATTGAATGGGATAATTTACTCTAAACGGTGCTTCAGTGTTGGGTGATAAATTATATGTGACGATATAGATAATGATGTCTACATGGAAAAAAGAGGAACATTCAGCTGTAGTTACTCTCTACTCACAATCAGCCGCATCCTTGGTGTTAACAGGCTAGTGCCATCCGCAGGGTGACCTGACTGTACAGACTGTTGGAAATTGCATGCTAACATTGCCAGAAGCCATTACAGGTTATTCTTATTGACTACTGTAATTATAATAAACATTATGTTCCAGGGATGAGTTCTTGGCTGTATTGGATCCGTGACATCCAGCTCCCATGCATTTCAGCAGGCTGAAGATTTTGCCCAAGCCGTTTGAAGAGCCTTATCCTAGTGTTTTCTTGCAATGAAGAGGCTTTGCATGAGTTTTGTTTACATTTGGCTTTTCTGAGGCCTTCACTCTCAGCCAACCTCACTCATCAGAGCCACTTAATACATACCTGCCACATACATATCCAGGAAAGCTTGGAAGTGGAATCTAATCCAAGGGGACAATATGGAAAGAAAAGATGCCCATCTGACTCTTCCTCCCCAGAGACAATTACTTAATGAATGATGACGATGAATCACATGTTAATGTAAAGTCCCAACAGATACATCATCATACAAAGGGAGGGTGTTGTTATGCTCTTATTTTGCAAATTTTTTCAGGGATCTTGGGTGAACATGCCTATCCAGCTGTGGTGAGCAAATCCTATTGCTGTAGTTGAAAGCACATTTCAGTTAATAAGATGCTAAAGATCAGGCAATGTAAAATTTATTCTTCGCGGACTGTGGGTGCAGAGCATGTCACTAGTCCTCTCTCCACTTTAGGCTCCTCACTTTTTAGGGAAGTGATTACTGGTTCAGAATAAAAGCCCAAATCGTCACTTAAGAATTAGTATTTCATTATACTTTGTACATGGAAAGCAGAGTCTTACAAATGATGTCCCACATTTCTGTATCCTGTAACACAGTTGGTTGGGTTTAATATTTTCCAATTTTCATTTTAAGCGTCTTTTGGTTATAACTGTACTACTCCCCACCATAACTGTCTACCTTCTCCTGTACAAAGGTATATCTACCATCTAAAACATATATATAATGAAATCTAGCCAACAAGGACTAGATGAGATGTTTAAAATGATTTGCTGGGAAACGAAGGTTTCATAGAATAAAATCCTGGGGAAAAAATGAGATCGAATTGCACAAAAATGATTCCACAGGAAGACACTTTGTTGTAATAACATTTTCTTGCAGTTCAGCCTGAAAGGACTTAAAAAGAAATGTGTCCTCTTAATCCTGATGAAGCCAGAAGTGTAATGGATGCTGCGCTAAGAGTCTTCTGAGGAAGCTGAGAGCACTGTCAGAGGAAAGAAGATTACTTGGGGAGGGAGTGCACAAAATCTAGCCACCAGTTTTGGCGATCATTCTGCAGAGAAATATAACTTTAGTTACCTGAATGGTAAACATAAAGCTGTAATCCAGGTGTTTGCCTGGATTCATCTGGAATCCTTTAAAAAAAAAAAAAAAAGTAAACCAAAACACAGACAAATAATCCAAAACAAATACAGACACATCATCTGTTCAAAGCAGTTCCTTGTAATTAATCAGTGCTTTGAGGAGGAATTGTTCAGCCTCGTCATTGTTCATTAATTAAGAATGTGATGTTAGCGAAATCTGTTGACAAAAGTATGGCTGAGCCCAAGCTCCAAGACTGAGCTTTCAGCCCAGCAGATTAACAGGGAGACGTTTCGTTTCCTCAGTGGGTCCAGTAACACAGAGGTCTCCTCGCTCCCGCTGTAAGGTCATTCCATATCACTCAACAGCTTGAGGGAGACGTGAAAGCAAGGAGTCAGGCCACAGGAAAGGGGTGTGTTTGTTTGTGCTTTCTTTCTTGTGAGAAAACTATTAAAATAAGCAGAAGGCAAGTCTTGAAGGAAGATTTATGTAGCTTCGTGTGGCAGTATTGGCTTCCTACATCTGATAGAACAAAGGACCCCAAAGTTGCCTGAAATGATATACTGCAAGCAGGATTTATGGTGATTTTAATGTGACATGGAGCAGAAAATGTCTTCTCGGCAGGATATTTATGCCTGCAATTTAAAACCTGTGCTTTGATTGTTCTAGATGATAGCAAGTTTTCAGAGGCCATCACAGTGCTGCTTACCTGGATTGAGCGAGGTGAGGTGAATCGTCGCTCTGCAAACCAGTTTTATTCGATGGTGCAGTCGGCCAACAGCCACGTCCGCCGTCTCATGAACGAAAAGGCCGCTCATGAGCAAGAAATGGAGCAAGCCAAGGAGAGTTTCAAAAATGCCTTAACGGGGATCCTCACTCAATGTAAGTAACTCCTTTTTGTCCAGTCTTGTTGTAGTGATGGTGGTGGTGGTGGTAGTGGTTTTTTTATCATTTTGTTTGTTTGTTTGGGGGTAAGTAGTTGCAATGCAGTCATATTCTACTTCATATCCTATTCCATACTCTGTGGCAATTTGGAGGAGCAAGGACCATTCCTAAGGGCTTATTTCTCAAGGTGAGCAAAGTTTCAGTAGTTTTTTTATTAATAGACGAAGATGTGCTCTATGCATAATGTCTACTGCTGCGTAGACATAACGCTTCAGGAACGGACCAGACAGAAGCCTCCCTGCTCTCAGCAAAGATCGTGCTTTTGTGGAGAGAAGTGATATGCCTGTGCGTTGCAGCTAGTTAACTAGGCCAATTACAGAATAGAGGACAATTAGGTTATATTTATAGCCTGGGTTTAGGTAAAAGGAAGCAGGATTCAGCAACTTTTAGGGATATATTCACAGCGTACAGGGCACCCCTACAGTAGAAGAATACGCTGTACTGCTGCTGGCATCGGGACTGCTTGGCTGATACAATGCCAGTATTAATTTGGCAGATAAACTGCCTTAAATATTTAGTGCTGGCAGCTATTTCCTTAGTACAGATATATAATCAATGAAGTTACCTTAATGAGGTTCCCTCATAAAACAATAATCGGGATACTTGACTAGACTTGTTCTTCAAAAGGAAGGAGGAGAAGAGAGGAGAAGAGAGAGAAGAAAAGAAGGGAGAGGAGAGGAGAGAAAAGAGAAGAGAAGAGAAGAGAAAGAAAAAAGAAAAAAGAAAAAGAAAAAAGAAAAAAGAGAGAAGACAAGAAGAAAGGAGAAAGAAAACTAATTTCATTGTTGCTGGTTTTTAACATGTCTACTCATGGCTGCTCAAGCAAGAAGCTTTATGATACTCAGAAGGGTGGAGCCTGAAGCCAGCTCTCATATGCAAGTTAAAAACAAAACCCAAGACAATTTACCAGATGCAGAACAATGCCGTTGTTACACTGTAATTTCTGAATCACACCCCGAATCTTTACATAAAAAAAAAAGCCCTAAAGGCTTTTCTGCAACGTTTTTCTGGTCCCTCGGTGGTCATCCTTCAGAAGTTAGGGCTGAAGGCAGAAGCTTGGATGGACTTGCCTGGGTTAAGAGAGCAGCCCCTGGAAGCTTCTTGCATACGTGATGGAGAGCTCAGCATCTCAGAAGACCAATTCACCCCAGGGCACATGTCCTTGTAATTTAAGAGCTTAGATGCCTGAATGTAAAAGAAGGATTCTGGGCCAAAGCCATTTGATTTCTGAGGACATATGTTCAGTGAGTAAATTTTAAAGACTAGTTAATTCCCTTGGTAATTTGCTAGGCAATGTCATCTTCCACCTCAGCATTTAAAGGCAGTGCGAGGAGCAGAGACGCAGGCACCACGCATGACCGTGCTGTTCAGTTCACACCAAGGCCTCTGTAGTTTTGTGTCCAACAGCCAGCCCTAGCATTCGAAAATGCCTTCTTCAGCTGCATTAAAAAAAAAAAAAAAATCCCCCATTGTCAGCAGGCTGAACTTTAGTTAAATCAGTCTAAATTAGCCCGTTTGTCACCAACTGTTGTAGAACATCTGTCACTTGGAAATAGAGATCCCTGTAGTTTCAGGTGGAAACTTGCAGTTTTGGCTATCTGGTTTGTTCCTGTAATGTGCTGAATGCTGAACTTACAAAACAGAAATAGGTCTGGCTTGAAAACATGAGTTTCAGAGTGCCACAGTCACAGCAATGCCTGGAAGAAGAGAGTTTCTGACAGATCTGGCCTAGAAGGACAAGGTCAGCAAAAAAACAGGCTCAGGGAGAGGTGTTACACTCTGTGGATTTTATAAGAACAAATTTTACGAGCTTTCCAGATGCTCCACATTGGTTATTTTATAAACATCATAAACATCAGCCATTATTAGCGTTAATGTGTTTTATTAAAATTGTCTGCAAACTTGCCACAAACGGATGATGTTTTTGCTTTACACCCGTATATGCCTAAGATTGCTAAACATGGAGACTGAGAAATGAGCTTCCCTTTTTCAAGAATTTTCCTGTATTTGAATTGAACTGAGGAATGTTTTTCATCTGTCCTTTTCCATTGTTTTCCCACAGCCCTGTATAATTGGTTACAATATGTCACTTGCTTTATGAAGAAGAATTTGAAAATAGTAGATGTCCAAAATAGTTGTGTGTGGTCTATTAAATTCTGCAGAGTGGCAAAAAAATACCTGCTGTTCTGCAGTAAGGATCCAAAAGTCTAGTGTAATGCTGCAGCTCTGTGGCCACTTGACATAAATATTACAGTATTTTTAAAATACTATGTGGCATTCCTCTGTCATGAACTAGGTCAAGATGTGCAACTCCAAGCTGACCGTTCTGGGCTTTCTTTGCGGTCTGCAGGGAAAAATAAGCATCTCCAGGGAATAAGTCATCAGACCAACCTCATGGTGCTCTTCCAGTGAGATGAATCATCCCTTGGAGGTGCCATTTTTCCTCTGCTGCCCATAGAGGATTCGCAGGGGTCCTAGCTCAGAACCAGATGTCCAACTTTTTACATGCCTTGTTCAGAGCAGATTAATCCGACTTACCGTGTGTAGTCTTGATACAGAAGGACGTAGCGTAAGGGAAGAACTTGGAGTTAGATAGAAATGCCAGCATTGTAGCAGTGAATGTTATGGGGAGTGAAGAAGAAATGTGTTAAGAAAATGGGCTTCAAGTGCACTCACCTGGAACACGCGCACTGTCTATGTGGGTCTCAGTACAAAATACTTTCTTATTAATGAGGATTAGTGTGGCCAGAACATTTCAGCTTATGGCCCAACCACTAAAGAAGTAGAGATATTGAAATCCCTGCTACAAATTTCTGCCTGGAGGTATTTAGAAGATTACCAAGCGGATTACCCCTAAAAATTTGGGTCAAGTGTTCAGCACGTGAATTAATTACCTGACCAAGATACTTGTGCCAGGATAATCTGTGAAATAAAGTGTATTACTGCTGTCACGTCACCAATTTACAGCCCCTGATTTAAGTTCTACAGGGAGTCTTAGCCTTGTTATGGTGCTTCTTCAGTTATTTAAGGGATAAAGAGAGAAAAATGTCCATTTCCTTCTTTTTTATTAAATTACTTAGTTTTTCTAGATTTGAATCTGTGCTTAAAATGTGGACTGTTTCCCAGGATTTTGAATAGCTCTGTCTTTGCGGTTTGATTTCTAAATTCCTCCACTCTGCTCCCACAGCACAGTTACATGTGACACTGCTCCCTGACTTTCCGCGCATCTCCGTTTCATTTCCTCCCAAACCACCTTTTCAGCCTAAGGCTTATAGATGTTGATCCTCATGTTTAAGAAAAATGGAAGCCCTAGAGACATCCGCATTGGGATGTTTTTTAGACTACACCAAAGCTGCAATTCTCTCCTCTGACTTTCTCCTCCATGCACTGTAAACTTCATCTACCTCCTATTGAGGTTTCAGCCTGTTTAGTGCATTCTCCCTTGACAATATTTTCAAATGTACCTACAGGTGAGTGAAGATCCAAAATCCCATATTCAAAAATTAATTTGACATCTCAAGAGTCAGACACACAAGGGAGTGGAAGTGCTCCAGTATGCGAGTAGATAGATAAACAGTGTAATGAACAGAAGTGCCCCATGGCTGGGTACTGAGCAGTTTATGACACTCATGTATTTGGTCATTTTAGTCAATTTTACTAATGGATGAGTCTTCAAGGGACTTAGGCACCAGGTCCCCATCAGGGTCTATGAATCAGTCTCTTGCGTACCCGGGGGGGAACAGTGGGAGGGTGGGTTTTATCATGGAGCCCGGCCAGATTACTTCTTTGTGACATGGTGGCCTTCTCTTTCATTCTCTCCTTGACCTTCAGGGAATTTCAGTGTCTAGTGATCAGGATGATCTTTTGGAAAGGTATGGTTAAATACCCTGAATGCCAGGGAAGGAAGAGAACTTAAGGCTCCTTCCTTCCAAGCGTGCTCTAAATGGTGAGGTCTGGTGCTCTGAAAGGTGGTATTGACCTTCCTTAGGGTGTTTGACAGATGGCTTTTAGGCACCTGGTCCAGAACGATGCCAGCTGGAGGGAGATGTCTCCCTGCGCTGAACAGAGAGAATAGTTGCATCTATGGCACATCCCCATCTAGGGGATAGCAGCTACCTAAGGCAGTGGCCCTATAGGTATTCCCAAGCGTGAAGCCATTCCCCTGTACTATGTAGGACACCACAGTTGATTACAGATAATCACCAGGGTCTTAGAACTTGTGTAAAAGGCCCGAGTGTCAAAATGTGGGTCTGAAGGTGTGGATAGGCACGTGGTTCAACCTACAGGGCAAGCTGGAGTGTAAACCTGCAGAGTCATTTATTCCAGTGGAACTAATCACAGATGTGTCCTCACCTCCTGCTGGACGTGAGGTTGCTGGAAAGGGAAGCCGGTTCCCAGCGACCCTGGGATCCCTTTGTGCATTAGCTGGCATCAGGGAGAAGAGATGTGCTGCAGGTTCTCACCCTACCTTGGCAAGCGGTAATTAGCTCATTGACTCTTAGTAAGCAATTTCTGAAAACAGAACGTAGACCCCCTAAATCACTTAGACATGTTTAAAGGTTGCCATCCTGAATTTCATTCACAACGGCTAAGTGACAACCCTACTGTTGGCATTAGGCAAGCCAGTGGCAATCCAGTGTAGCAATCCCCAGCACTCAGTATTCAGGGCCAGTATACACCAGTAGGCCATCCTGATATTTCCAGGGGACCTTGTGGACAAGCTACATACTGACACCATTTTTTTCCATTTCAGCTACTAAATATCATGCCATCATAATAAGCAGTAAAAGCAAAACTGTTACAAAGTTTAACGCAATTTATAAGTGACAGGATGCAATCTTCAGTAGTACTGCTGGAGTATTTGTAAATTGTAAAATAGATTTTTCCACTAACTAAAAAGAAAACGTTGGGATCTTTTTCTTGGTACAGTTCTAATT